AAGGAAGGGGAAAGGGAATTATCAGGATAGAGCACCAAGTCATTATGACTATATAGCACTTGGAAGGGATCAGGATAAAGACTTGAGATGGGACGGGGGTGTAACGGTTCTCGCTACAGGGAAAAGGAATGGTGCCCAACAACGTGGACGGTCGGGAATTGAACGCCGACCTGCATGAAGCGAGACCGTCGCTCTACCGTTAACCCCCTAATGGTTGTATAGGCCAAGGATCTTTCCCTCATTTTATTGGTAATAACAGTGGCTGTCTGCAGTTGAATCTGATTTGATGATTTACAACTAAATAAAATGTAGAAGGTCTTTTCTATGTTTAGTCTAAATTTGTTGGTTGACATCTATGAGTGGACTCTTTAATTCATTATTGACAATATTACAGTATTTAGTGTGCGGGAGCTGGGGTCAGAATAGATAAAGTTAGTATCGTCAGCAGATAGTATAGATTTAAGAATGTTTGAAACATATGGCAAATCATTGATGCATGTACGAAATAGGAGGTCCCAAGATTATGTATTATGTACTCTTTATGTACTTAATCCAAACAACTTTATCGTTGTGTTCATAGCTGTCTTCTTTTATGTGCTAGCCATATGCTGTATTGTGCCTGCTAAGTTTTGTTAAACTACCATTCAAGCTGTCATTGCAATCATTCTGAGCTACCTATGTGCTTTAATATACCTACAATTTTTCTCTCCTCTTTTATTTTTTTTCATGCTATGAAACTGTTATAATTTTTATAAATTTTGCAAGTATTTACCTACTTATAAGTTTCTTAGATTAAGGACCTACCGGAAACGCTGCGCGTACCAAGCTTTACAAGAATGTTATTACTATGTTATGTATTCTCACAATCCCAATGTACCTTCTTGTATATATATAAATAAATAAATAAATAAATAAGATGCTACCCTGTGGCACCCCTACTGTGAATGGTAGAGTGAGGGAGGTTATGCTATTGATGGCTACAAATTGGTGTATCACTGAGATAGGAACGAATATAATCCAGAGCAAGGCTTCGGATACCAGTGGTGAAGTTTAAGAGGTTTACAGTATATATTTTTGAACGAGTTCCGTGATTACTGTGAAGTTTTGCCATGATGCTTCCATGTTCACCTATTAGCTCTCCAGGATATGTTTTGTAATTCCTCTCACATTCCTTCGTAGTCTCCTCGATGGTAATCTAGAAATTACTCATGAACCTTAATGTGGGTTTCTGTATTTGTAGTCCATCTTAAAATATGGTGATCACATGAGGAGATAAGCTTTTCCCCTACCGGAATTTAGTCAGTCATACCCTCCGCTGATGTTAGCACAAGATCTAGAATGCTGTTACCTCGTGTGGGCTCTATCGCATGCTGAAAAAAAAGTCCAGTGCCAGGTCTAGAAATTGTTCTCCTTCTGCTTGTGAGGTTAGATTTACCCAATCTATGGTCTATTTACCCAAACCCACATTATTAGGGATTGGGTTTTTGATGCCGTATTGATCACATGGTGCAGATCGGCGTCTTCCTCTGCTCTTGCCCTGTAATTACCTAAGTGTAATTACCTAAGTGTGGCTACAGGATGAGAGCTACGCTCGTGGTGTCCCGTCTTCCCAGCACTCTTTGTCATATAACGCTTTGAAACTACTGACGGTCTTGGCCTCCACCACCTTCTCACTTAACTTGTTCCAACCGTCTACCACTCTATTTGCGAAGGTGAATTTTCTTATATTTCTTCGGCATCTGTGTTTAGCTAGTTTAAATCTATGACCTCTTGTTCTCGAAGTGCCAGGTCTCAGGAAATCTTCCCTGTCGATTTTATCAATTCCTGTTACTATTTTGTACGTAGTGATCATATCACCTCTTTTTCTTCTGTCTTCTAGTTTTGGCATGTTTAATGCTTCTAACCTCTCCTCGTAGCTCTTGCCCTTCAGTTCTGGGAGCCACTTAGTAGCATGTCTTTGCACCTTTTCCAGTTTGTTGATGTGCTTCTTAAGATATGGGCACCACACAACAGCTGCATATTCTAGCTTTGGCCTAACAAAAGTCATGAACAATTTCTTTAGTATATCGCCATCCATGTATTTAAATGCAATTCTGAAGTTAGAAAGCATAGCATAGGCTCCTTGCACAATATTCTTTGTGGTCCTCAGGTGATAGTTTTCTATCTAGAACCACCCCTAGATCTCTTTCTTTATCAGAATTCTTTAAAGATTTCTCACATAATATATAGGTTGTGTGGGGTCTATGTTCTCCTATTCCACATTCCATAACATGACATTTATTAACATTAAATTCCATTTGCCAAGTGGTGCTCCATATACTTATTTTGTCCAGGTCTTCTTGAAGGGCATGACAATCATCTAAATTTCTTATCCTTCCTATTATCTTAGCATCATCAGCAAACATGTTCATATAATTCTGTATTCCAACTGGTAGATCATTTATGTAGACAATAAACATCACTGGTGCAAGAACTGAACCCTGTGGTACTCCACTTGTGACATTTCTCCATTCAGATACATTGCCTCTGATTACTGCCCTCATTTTTCTATCAGTCAGAAAATTTTTCATCCATGATAGAAGCTTACCTGTCACCCCTCCAATATTTTCCAGTTTCCAGAACAACCTCTTATGTGGAACTCTGTCGAAAGCCGTTTTTAGGTCCAGATAGATGCAGTCAACCCAACCATCTCTTTCCTGTAATATCTCTGTGGCTCGATCATAGAAACTGAGTAAATTCGATACACAGGATCTTCCAGATCGAAAACCATACTGTCTGTCTGATATTATATCATTTCTCTCCAGGTGTTCTACCCATTTAGTTTTGATTAGTTTTTCCAATACTTTCACTATTACACTTGTCAATGATACAGGTCTATAATTGAGGGGGTCTTCCCTGCTGCCACTTTTGTAGATTGGAACTATGTTAGCCTGTTTCCACACGTCTGCTACGATTCCTGTACACAGGGATGCCTGAAAGATCAGGTGAAGTGGAATGCTGAGCTCAGATGCACATTCTCTCAGAACCCATGGTGAAACGCCATCTGGGCCAGCTGCTTTGTTCTTACCGAGCTCCTTGAGCATTTTTTCCACTTCGTCTCTAGACACCTCTATGTGCTCTATGTTGTTCTCTGGAATTCTTATTGTATCTGGTTCCCTAAAGATTTCATTTTGTACAAACACACTTTGGAACTTTTCCTTTAGTGTTTCACACATTTCCTTTTCATCTTCCGTGAATCTATTTCCCATTTTCAACCTCTGAATATTATCCTTTACCTGCAATTTGTTGTTTATGAATTTATAGAATAGACCTGGTTCTGTTTTACATTTGTCTGTAATCCGTTTTTCAAAATTTCTTTCTGCCTCTCTCCTCACTGCCATGTAGTTGTTTCTCGCATCTTTGTATCGCTGGTATGTTTGGGGGTTCGGCCTCTTCCTGTATTGATTCCATTTTTGTGTCTTTTGGTCTCTAGCCCTCTCGCAATTTCTATTGAACCAATCCTGTTTCCTAGTTCTGCATCCCTGTAGCATACTCCCACTGTCATTTTGGTACCATCTTAAGCTAGTATGTTGCACCATACAGACTGAGGCTCCCATGGTGTTTAGTTCCTCATTGTTGGTTGCATTCAGGTCTTCTTTCACATATAGCATTACCCGGCCTGCTCTTGTTCTGTCCTTTCTGAATGGTGAGTGGTATCTAGGGAGAAAGAATTCCCCTTCTATTATATCCTCTCGTTCCCATATTTCATTAATGCCAATGATGTCGGGATTTTCAGCTTCAGCATACGTACATATTGAGTTTAAATTTATTTACTAGGCTTCTGGCATTCGTGTAGAAACAATTTAAACTGACGTTGTTCCTGGGGGGCTGAGAAAGTGTTCCTGTGTTTAGCACATTCCTGTTCTGTACCTGTTTGTCGTCCGAGATATAAAGTTAAATCCGCCTGGCTGGGTGAAGGACCATAACCTCTCTATTATCTGGATCACCTGCCCTCCCCTGATCTTTAGCTTCGCATTCTTGTGTAGTGGTCAGTAAATGGTAAGTAGTAATTGATACTTGTAGCACAAATCTTATACAGTAGTCAAATCTTATTCAGGAGTCCCACTATAGCATGAGAATAACAATTGTACGTATCTACAATTGCCACAGTGAAGACTAGGGCGATGATAGTCTAAATCTTTTGGTATTTTAAATTTTGAATTTGATAAGATACCACCCAAAAGACAAGCACAGAAAATGCACACACAGTCCAATCCCATAGTCATTTAGAATAAAGCACTACTTCCATCACTCTAAAAGTCAAAACTATACTTCTCCCTAATTTATATCTGTAAAAGAGAATGTCTCTGTTTGAGGTTGGGATTGGAGGCTTGGAGTGATTTTGCAGTGACCAGTCTCCAGGTTATGGTCATAGGTGTATTGGAATGGAACATCATGCCATCCCCCCCCCCCACAATCCTTTGTACGAAATGGCATATCATAGTAATTTACAACCTAAATATCAAACTACATCCTCACTAAGATTCATCTCGCAAAATTTTTCTACATGAATAAATGGTAGTTTCTATTATGTAGTTTATTGACGAATTCAGTATTTAGTGAAGATGGTTACATGGATGAAGGGAAAGTGGTGGGAAGTAGAGAAGTTGGTGAATGATAAGGAATGTCTTTATGAGGGATATTCCTTCATGGGACCCTAAGCCTTTGGCTGGCCCATTAAGTGTTACTCGCTTCTGTTTTACTTAGGCGTAAAGTAAGTTTTACTTACTTAGAGAGAGGAAGGTGAAGGGTAGGGAAGATGTTGGCTGTATATAGGTGGGGATACCTAGCTACGTAATATAACTGCACAGTGACATTAAATAAAGTGTTTATCTATATAATCACACAATGAGTTTCTAGGGACCGGTATTTTTTGTGTATGATGAAGTAGGAATTTAATGTTAGTTTTAATGAGATGAGGAAAGGGAGAGGGGGAGAAAACGATCACCTTAGATGCTTACCAATGACACTTGGCTCAAGATCAACAAAGAGTGCTCTGGGAACGTATTTTCCGGTGCGAGCTTCATTGAAGAAAGTGCAGCATGAATTTTTCAATCCAGGAATAGTCTTGTCTTCCGGCATTTGGCCATCGGGTCCAATGCAGTGTTCCAAGCAATACAACTCCCAGCAAGAGTTGCCGATCTGGACGCCTGCCTGCCCAACGTGGATCGAAATGCATTCACGCTGTTAAATATTAAGAATGATAAAACACAGCAAATATATGTAACTAAAAATATATATCTGCATATTTAAGGTATACATGATGGCAAGAATATGTTTCAGATAATTCAACAAACGAGAACTTCCTGATAATTTAAAATCTACAATAGCTACTCTTTCATAATTTGTTATATACTTATTAACATATACATTAGCATAGCATATTAATATACTTATTAACATATACATGTATACATGTTAGTGCAGTACATTGCTATAATTTACAGTATTATGGAAAAAATTATAAGTAAGCTACAGGTAATTTCACACAAAGTCATTAACACGCATATTCGTATTCCCTACCCGGACCTTCGACAAGCCGCCGACTTTCTGTCCTCATCGAGACCACTAGGGTTAATGGCCCTCAGGTAAATCAGGTAAATATAATATCGATCAAACTATCATGCAAAAGTAGCCTTATTTCTGGGAATTAATGAAAGTCGGTCAAATTCAAATCCAAATTTTTATTCACAAGAATGTGTGCACAAAGAACATAGTAATGTACAATTGTAGACACAGGAGTTAACACAAACTAATAAAGCCACTAGTATGCAAAGCGTTTCGGCCAAAACTTTAAAATAATTTGGTGAAAAAATTATTTAAAAGTGTAAAGGGGTAAACACTTAATACAAAAAGTAATGTAAATTGCTTACATATATATTTTTTCCACGATAAAATAAGTTAAAGAGAAATAACAGATGAATACAATAAAAAGGTGATACTAAATGATGACATAATGTAATAGGCTATTACATACCTGTTGTATGTAACTAACCCCATAATATAATGTACATAAATTACATTATGAAGATAGTAGGTCTAGCAACAGTACAGTAGTTTATTTACATTAATAACAGAACGGAAATACAGAGTAATGTAGGGAAGAAAATGGAACATAGCAAAACATAAGAGTAATATAGTATATTTAAGTTTAATGGGGCCAATATTTAAAAATAAACAAGGATACAAAATGACATGAGTACTGTCAACACTTTATAAATGAAATGCAAAAATTACATGACATATGAAGAACACATTAATTATTAAATAAAACAAATAATATTAACACAATAATAACTTAAAAGTAGGTAAAATGTGAATTTAAGACTTTTTAAGATGAGATTTCTGACTTGGCCACTTCTCCAGTATTGTAACTACCGTTTGAAGACGAGTAATTGACTATAATGACCTGACCATTTGTCAGGTCATTGTAGACTATAACCGGCAGAGAGTTATTGACTTGTCACATTTCTAATAATTGTGGACTCTGCTTAATAATTTTGCGAAGAGTTTAGACTTTACCATTTGTGAATCCAGTTGTGACTTAGTTTTTCTGATGGCAAGTGAGTTCATTGACTTTTTTTTTTCTTTTTATTGTTAAAACAAAGTAAAACAGCGTACATGCAACCATATAAACAGTAAAGCATAGAATTACAAAGAACATTGAAAGACATAAAATAACACAGAGCAACATAACAGAAAAGAGAAAACAAAGAACAAAAAAAATTCATAGGAAAGTACATGAACTACACATAAAAACAGCTAGTCAAAACAGTACAAGCAGTGATCCATAAAGCACAAAGAAACATGAGAACAACAGAAAGAAAACATAAAACAAAAACAAATAAGCGTACAATAGAAACAAAAGAAAAAAAAAGACTCAGAATGACATGGTACAAAATAATACAAATCTAGTAACAAGCCAGCCTGAAAGGCCATGTTCATTGACTTGTGATAGTGATGTCCATGCTTGGACTTTATACCTTATTCTGGTTATGTAACGTCACTATCCCACTATGTTCACAATCGTTCAGCAAGTCGTGAGTTAACTAGTGTACCAATGTTGTTAGGTAATTGTGGCCTAGCGACATCTAGCTACTATGATTTGTGCTGTGTGTTGATTTACTTTTATTATTTCATTGTGAGTATGCCTAGAGCGATTTGTGTACAGTATATAAGAACTGGTGTCATGTAGATAATTTCGCCCCAGTCAACAGGTGGATTTTACTAAAGACTCTCACTTTACCCTAGACCTGTTTACACTGAAATACATGAAGCCAGGTGGCTCATTGATTATTGAAGGAAAGTTCTGTTCCACGAGCATTACTGTGGATTGTGACACGACAGTGAAATTGAGTATATGATATTAATTACAAAAATTTATCATCATATAACCATAATGTGTTTCTGTTTAACATCAATGTAAGGTCTCTTAGCAAACACTATGATGTTAGTGCTTTATTGCAAACACTAAACTAGCAATTTTCTTTTTGTTGTTCTTACTGAGATCTGGTTGAATGATGACATTACCCTACTATATAATATTCCCAATTATTCAGCTATCCACAACTGTAGACCTAACCAGAGAGGTGGTGGTATGGCAATTTATTACTATAAGGAGTTATCATGCACAAAAGTTATCAAATCTAGAGATAACCATGGAGAGTATCCCAGTTCAAAATGAAGGGTCTGAGCACCAACTTAAATTTGGGAGTAGTCTACAGAATTCCAAACACTGCTGTAACTGAATTCAATTCCAATCTTAGAAACTTAATAATAAGGAACAATCTTAACAAAAGTCAACTAATATTAACTGAAGATTTCTATATTTATCTATGCCAGCCTGATAACCCACTTATTGCCAGCTTCCTCAACTGTATGAACTCCTGTATGATTTTGCCTTGATTACAGAACACACGAGAATTACTGAAACAACTGCCTCCTTCCTTCATCACATTTTGACAAATATTCCAGGTAAATTCAGGTAAATATAACCTGTGGAAGAATCACTGATGATACAACAGACCACTCTACCCAACAATTATCCTAACCAGCATTTCTAAGTCTATTAAAACAAAGAAAATAAGCTTTAGATTGCATAGTGAAGCCTCCATACTTTGTAGCTGCTGCTTGCACCATAAACTGGGGAACGGAAACCAAAATGTGACTAACATTAATCTAGGTGCGCAGACATTTCACGGAAACCAGAAATATGACTAACGTTAATCTAGGTGTGCAGACATTTCTTCACAAAACTCTAAGTTTCTGTAATACTCACTGTCCTTTACTTACTAAGCAAATTACAGCTAAAAGGTCCAACAACCATTGGTTCACAAAGGGGTTACTTTCTTCAATTAATAAAAAACACGAATATGACAAGAAATGCAGGCTAGGTATCATTCCCAGAGAATTGACTATGCACTACTCCTCACTGCTTTCCAAGATATTACAAAAAACAAGACAACCCACTATGAAAATTATTTTAATCATATAATGATAAGATGATCTTTAATAAAAACCCCACCCTTATGTAATTTGTGAAAATTATGTAAATATTTACACCAAGGCTTTCGCACTCATTTGAGTGCTTTGTCAAGATCTGAGTTTGTGATTAGGACGAGACTTGCATCTCAACGCCTTATGAGGCTGCTACCCTGTTCCTGTTGTTGTTTAAGATTCAGCTACTCGGAACAAAACTTCCCAAGTACCACAGGATATGGTGAACCCGTAGTGGACTTACCTGGCACAGGAGTGGGACTATATTGTGGCTACTTACACTGAAATATGCAGTGTAACTTGTGTACAAGTGATAGCTACGAGTGATACAGTATGCATGGAGGGGGGGCACCGGACTGGGTGATACAGTAGCTGCATGGGGGCGCCATGCTGGGTGATACAGTAGCTGCATGGGGGCGCCAGGCTGGGTGTTACAGTAGCTGCATGGGGGGCCCCAGGCTGGGTGATACAGTAGTGAGCATGGGGGCGCCGGACTGGGAGATACAGTAGTGTACATGGGGGCGCCGGGCTGGGAGATACAGTAATGTACATGGGGGCGCCGGGCTGGGAGATACAGTAGAGTACATGGGGGCGCCGGGCTGGGAGATACAGTAGTGTACATGGGGGCGCCGGGCTGGGAGATACAGTAGAGTACATGGGAGACGCCGGGCTGGGAGATACAGTAGTGTACATGGGGGCGCCGGGCTGGGAGATACAGTAGTGTACATGGGGGCGCCGGGCTGGGAGATACAGTAGTGTACATGGGGGCGCCGGGCTGGGAGATACAGTAGAGTACATGGGGGCGCCGGGCTGGGAGATACAGTAGTGTACATGGGGGCGCCGGGCTGGGAGATACAGTAGTGTACATGGGGGCGCCGGGCTGGGAGATACAGTAGTGTACATGGGGGCGCCGGGCTGGGAGATACAGTAGTGTACATGGGGGCGCCGGGCTGGGAGATACAGTAGTGTACATGGGGGCGCCGGGCTGGGAGATACAGTAGTGTACATGGGGGCGCCGGGCTGGGAGATACAGTAGTGTACATGGGGGCGCCGGGCTGGGAGATACAGTAGTGTACATGGGGGCGCCGGGCTGGGAGATACAGTAGTGTACATGGGGGCGCCGGGCTGGGAGATACAGTAGTGTACATGGGGGCGCCGGGCTGGGAGATACAGTAGTGTACATGGGGGCGCCGGGCTGGGAGATACAGTAGTGTACATGGGGGCGCCGGGCTGGGAGATACAGTAGTGTACATGGGAGCTCCGGGCTGGGAGATACAGTAGAGTACATGGGGGGGGGGGCGCCAGACGGTGTCAAAGATGGCGCCGCCGACCAAATGTCACATGTTCACTGGTCAGTCCATTATACAAACTCCTTGGCGCTACAATATACACAAACTTAAGGATAGGTGAGCGGAAAGTGAGAGTTGGAACGTACCATAATTGGCGAGATCAAAAGGAAAACAAAGTAGTGACGAGCAGTGGTAAAGGAGGACAGTGCACTTCCCGTGACTGCCAGAAGCCAAGTGCTCCCTCGGGCCAGGTGCAAGCAGTATTTATACTTTCCGTGACGTCATAGGCAGGCGCGGCTTTGATTGGTCAGTGGTGGCAGTCGGAGGCTGCGACTTCCTTAAGAAACGGTCCAACTTGGATCCGATCAATTAAATTTTAATTCGAATTAAAAACTTTATTTATTTATTTATTTATTTATTTATTTATTTATTTATTTACAAGAAGGTACATTGGGTTTATATGATTACATAACATTGATGTTTTTAACATTCTTGTAAAGCCACTAACATGCAAAGCGTTTCGGGCAGGTCCTTAATCTAACTGCTAATTTTAAGTGGGTAATTTGTAGTTAAACTTGAAGAATATTAACAGGTACATTGTAAGAAAATTTGAAGAAAATTAATAGGTATATTATAGTAAAATTTGAGGATTATCAACAGGTACATTGTAGTACAATTTGAGGATTATTTCTATGTACGTTGTAGTAAAATTTGCGTTCAACATAACATATGATTGTAGTGATTACAATGGTAAAACTGTATGGCTTAGACACATATATCGGGGAAGTGGGTAGCACAAGATAAAGTGTGAGTTTGAAGCATTAGGTAGGAAACTATGAGGATGAAATTAGTTTATTTTTATTTTTTTATTAACAAGCTTAGGTATACCCAGTAATGTGCTACTACCCTATTCTATATGAAAGATTACACAATGTAGATAAAAAAGCCAGCTAAAAGCTCGTCCAACATCCCAACCTCACAGGACGGCCAATCATATATGGAATCAGGAGGGAACATGAAATGTGAAACAACTTTCTAACAAGTTGTAACAACTATCTATCAAGTTGTAACAACTTTCTAATATGTCATAAAAATTTTGCAATAAGATGTAACAATTTTGTAACAAGGTAACAATAGGAACCGTTACGTAGTGTATTTACATGGAGGTGCGCCCCCGGGAGTACCTTGATCGCAGGTTCGAGTCACCTCACTGCTCCAATTGATATTCTCATTGACATATTTACCTGATTTACCAGAGGGTCACTCACACTAGTGGCCTCGACGAGGACAGGAAGCTGGCGGCTTGTCGAAGATTCCCTCCATTTGTCCTGATGATCATTTCCAGTTCGACTTTGAAATTTAACAGTTTTGGCATTTACGGCTTCGGTGAGTAGGCTATTCCATGGGTTTATAACCCTTTGGGTGAAAAAATCTGTTCTCAGTCCTATATTGCGGCTTGTTGAGCTTGAAACCGTTGTTCCTTGTTTGTGTTACATCTGACTTTTTGAAGAAATTGTCCGGATCAACATCCTAATTGTTCAGTATTTTAAAAATGTCAAAGTTTCTCATTAAGTGAATATCTATGTCTTAATGTGACATTTCACATTAAGGGTCCCGGTAGTACAGTCGGATTCGTTCTCGACTCACAATCGAGAATTCCGGGTGCGAATCCCGGCCGAGACAGATATGGTTGGGCATATTTCCTATACCTAATGGTTCTGTTTGCTTAGCAGTACGTAGATTCTCAGGAGCTAGTACTCACCTAGTTTTGCTCACCTTGTTGTGCTTGCGGAGGTTGAGCTCTGGCTCTTTGGTCCAGTCTCTCGACTGGTGTACAGATTCCGGAGCCTACTGGGCTCTATCATATCTACATTTGAAACTGTGTATGGAGTCAGCTTCCAACACATCACTGCCTAATGCATTCCAACTGTTAACTACTCTGACACTGAAAAAGTTCTTTCTAACGTCCCTGTGGCTCATTTGGGTATTCAGTTTCCACCTGTGTCCCCTTGGTCGCGTACCACCCGTGTTAAACAGTTTATCTTTATCTACCCCTGTCAATTCCTCTGAGAATTTTATAAAATAAATAAAATAAAATAAAATGTTTATTCATGTAAAGTACATACATACAAGAGGTTTTACAAAAGTTGATAGATTTATAGATAGAGCATAGGCATACAATGCCTAAAGCCACTATTACGCAAAGCGTTTCGGGCAGGAAAAACATTAAAGACTAAAACTTAATACTAATTGAGATTAAAGTATAAAATGTGTTGAGAACAAATAAAAATAAAAATAAAAAAGGGGGGAACATGGCAGAAAAAGCAGCACAAATACAATTAGGTCGACAAACAGCGTTGTTTTAAATAATAGACATGGGTTGACAATATAGGGGTAAGGTAGGTTACAGGGAATTTATTAGGTAGTGCCTAGTTTTTATCTTAAACTGGTTGAGAGAGGTACAGTCTTTAACATGATTGGGAAGGTCATTCCACATTCTGGGTCCCTTGATTTGTAGAGCATTTCTAGTTTGATTAAGTCGTACTCTTGGAATATCAAAACTGTATTTGTTTCTGGTGTGGTGCTCATGGGTTCTGTTACAACCTTCAGTGAAGCTTTTGAGGTCAGGATTGGCATTACAGTTCAGCGTTTTATATATGTATAATACACATGAGAGAATGTGCAGTGACTTAATATCTAACATATTCAGAGATTTGAGTAGGGGTACCGAGTGATGTCTGGGGCCAGAGTTGGATGTTGTCCTAATAGCAGCTTTGTGTTGAGTAATTAGAGGACGTAAATGATTTTGGGTAGTAGAACCCCAAGCACAAATACCATAGTTGAGATATGGATAGATGACGGAGTAATAGAGAGTCACCAGGGCAGGGCGAGGTACATAATATCTGATCTTAGAAAGAATGCCAACAGTTTTTGAAACTTTTTTTGATATATTTAGAATGTGTCCCTGAAAATTCAGCTTGTGGTCAATGAGAACGCCAAGGAATTTGCCATCTATTTTGTTACAAATTTGGGTATTGTTTATTTTGAGATTTATTTGGTTAGAGGATTTATTGCCAAACAGAATATAGAAAATTTTGTCAATGTTAAGGGTGAGTTTGTTGGCAGTTAGCCAAAGATGGACTTTATTTAGTTCAGTATTCACTGTGGCATTTAGAGTAAGGGGGTCAGTATTGGAGTAAATGAAGGTTGTGTCGTCAGCAAATAGAATTGGTTTGAGGTGTTGGGAGGCATTTGGAAGGTCATTAATGTAGATGAGAAAGAGGAGAGGGCCAAGTATGCTGTCCTGAGGAACACCGATGTTGATGGGTAGGGTGGGAGAAATTGAATTATTCACAGAAACATATTGGAGCCTGCCAGTAAGGTAAGATTTGTAGGTAGCGATCATGTATCCCCTTACTCTTCTGTCTTCCAGTGTCGTAAGGTGCATATCCCGCAGCCTTTCCTCGTAACTTATGCCTCTTACTTCTGGGATTAGCCTAGTAGCATACCTCTGAACTGTTTCCAGCTTCGTCTTATGCTTGACAAGGTACGGGCTTCATGCTGGGGCCGCATACTCCTGGATTAGTCATACATATGTGGTAGCTATTAGTCAGCTTGTTGTGGGGTTGCATCCTCAGCCGGATCAGTAATTCGACTTTGGAGGATGGGGGACTTCAATATAAGCCTAAGTTGTATGAATACACTCTGGCTGCCTGTTCCCCGATACAAAGTGGTAATTGGGGTCGAAAAGTGAACTGCGTAGTCGGCGGATGTGTCTCTGGATTTAGCAGTGTCGCAGACGTTGAGACGAAGCCTGGAGCAGAGCAGAGAGCTGAGTGAGGCCGGAGTCGTGGAGCTCTATGTGGGAGAGCGTGGCGGCTCGATTGAGATTTGTGAGTGTCTAAACTCGGGGAGCGAGAGCGTGGCGGCTCGATGCGGTCGTAGTCTGCTGTCTGCTCTGTGTCGAAGCTGTAGCGTCTTGGGTTGATTAGGACTGTACACGCCGAGTACTACATTGTTGACTGTGGAAATTGTAGTCTGGTACCAAAAGATGTAGGCAGTGTGTGGACAAGCTCGGTGTAGCAGGAGAGAAGAATGTGCATAATTGTTGCGTCCTTGGGTCGCTGGTGGAGCATTTAGATCCGGGGCGGATGGGCTCGGGCACCAGGACATTAGGAGGTAATGTAGGCACGTAGTTAGGACAACGAGGTAATCACTGCTAGAGCTGAATGAATTATTATTAAATTAATTATTTGCCCGAAACGCTGTGCGTATTAGTGGCTTTAGGCATAGTATGTACTAGTTCTATATAGAAATCCAACATTCTATTGGTGACTCAACTTGTATGTATGTATTTTTACCCGAATAAGCATTTATTTATTTATTATCAAGAGCTCATTGGTGATGACATGGTCCCCCCCGTGAAAGTGGCGTGCCGCGTGCTTTGTGGTGGCGCACGTGTTCCCCTCAGCTGACTGCCGTCAACAAACATTGTCCAGTGTACTCTGGGGTCTGTGGACGGTGTATTCTGGGGTCTGTGGACAGTATACTTTGGGGTCTGTGGCCTGTGTATTCTGTGGACAGTGTACTCTGGGGTCTGTGGACACGAATCTGGAGTCTGGACAAAGATTATCAATCAATTGCTAGCACTGCATCCTCTTAGGGTAGGTGGGGAATGATCAAATTTTACTCAAGTGTTTTGACAAAGATCACTTTCTAATTGTCAAAACCGTATATGGCCTTAGGTTTATATATGTTTTTATTAGCTTAAGGTAGGCTGCATTAGGCTCGGTGTGATTAGAGGTTAGGTTAGGTTGGTTTAGGTTAAGAATTTTACCTGTATTTACCTGAAGGCCACTATTTATTTATTTATTTATTTATTTATTTATTTATTTATTTTTATTTATTTATTTATTTATTTATTTATTTATTTATTTATTTATTTATTTATTTATTTATTTATTTATTTATTTATTTATTTATTTATTTATTTATTTATTTATTTATTTATTTATTTATTTATTTTATTTATTTATTTATTTATTTATTTATTTATTTATTTATTTATTTATTTATTTATTTTATTTATTTATTTATTTATTTATTTATTTATTTATTTATATACAAGAAGGTACATTGGGGGCTAACAGAGAACATAGAAATTAAGTTGAATTTACATTCTTGTAAAGCCACTAGCACACAGCGTTTCGGGCAAGTCCTTAAACTAACAGATAATTTTTAGATAATTTACAGTAAAACTGACCAAAAATGTTTACAAATACTTTACAGCTTTACTTTACAGGTACAGATAATTTTATGTAGAATAATTACAGTAAAATTGACAAAAAATGTTTACAGGTACATTGCAAGAATTTTTTTTTTTTTTTTTTTAGATATATACAAGAGTTGTTACATTCTTGTACAGCCACTAGTACGCGTAGCGTTTCGGGCAGGTCCCTGGAATACGATCCCCTGCCGCGAAGAATCGTTTTTTCATCCAAGTACACATTTTACTGTTGCGTTAAACTGAGGCTACAGTTAAGGAATTGCGCCCAGTAAATCCTCCCCGGCCAGGATACGAACCCATGACATAGCGCTCGCGGAACGCCAGGCGAGTGTCTTACCACTACACCACGGAGACTGATAAATTTGCATTTTGACACAAAAGCAGATTAGAATAATACACACTAATAGCAATACACAATAATGAACAAGAATTACTAGGTACATTTGGATAACATTTCAAGGAATAATGCAGTAAAATATGCATTCAATACAACAACCATGATATCAGATGATATCTAAGATTAGAATGGTAAAGTAATATGGCTTAGGTACAAATATTGGGGGTTTGGGTAGCACTAGATACAGTGCGAAGATAAAGCACTAGGTAGAAAACTACGAAGATCAAATTAGGTACTTTTAGGCCCACTAGCACTCGAGTGGCCTCGACAAGGGCAGGAAGCCGGAGGCTTGTCAAAGCCAAGAATTATTAAAGTGGCCCCCCCATTTGTCCTGATGATTTTTTCCAGCTGGATTTAAAAATTCAACAGTTTTGGCAATTTTGGCTTTGGCAGGTATTCAGATCCTTAAGTTTATAACCCTGTGGGTGAAAAAAAAATCTGCTTTCAGTCCTACAATGTGGCTTGTTGAGCTTGAAACCGATGCTCGTTCTTACATTTTGAAGAAGTTGTCTGGATCAACATCCTCCAAATTGTTCAGTATTTTACAAATTTAGATGAGATCTGCCCTGTCATGCCTGGTTTGCAGTGGTGTTAGTGTTCTGTGGCCCTCAACCTTTCCTAGTACGAGAGTCAACTCACAACCAACTAACAAGAACTAACTTTGTTGCCCAGTGTTGCACTTTCTCCAAAGCAGCTATGTTTTTCAGATGTCTCTATGCTTATACACAATAATCCAAGTGGCATTGCACCAGAGACTTATACAGTTTAATAACTACTGTACCTTCTTTTCCATTAAGTCAAATGTTTGCTTCCATATTCTTAAGGTTTGATTAGCTTTTTTTTTATTGCAGCTCCCACTTGCTGTGCAACTTTCAGTGAATGATGGATTCTGACTCCAAGGTTGAAGCAAGTGCTTTAGCCTGGGTTCGTATCCTGGCCAGGGAGGATTGAACGGGTGCCAATCCATAACTGTAGCCTCTGTTCACCCAGCAGTGAATTGGTACCTGGTTGTTAAACAATTTGGCGAGTCATATTCCAGGGAAAATTAGGATTAAGGTCCTGCCTGAAACAATATGTCTGCTAATGGCTTCACAAGGATACTGTATAAGAATTCTTGTATTTATAAATATAGGTCCTTTTCTTCATCAGTCTGATGAAAGGTAATATTGTTTATTCGGTAGTTGTGATGTGGATTTTTCCCCCCACATTTTCCCCACATTCAAGGTCTTGTATTTGTTTATATTAAAAAGCATTTGAGTGTTCTGACCATTTCTGGAGTTCATGTAGATCTCTTTGTAAGGCAACAATATCATTTTCATTTTCAATATCATTTCCTATTTAACCATAAATCTTAGTGTCATCTGCAATTTTGATGTAGTTTGTAATGTTCTTATCTATGTCATTGATGTTTATGACAAAAAGGGTTGGCTTCAAAATGAAGCCCTGCAATACCCCACTTACTATATTTCTCCAGCCAGATTCATTTTTACTTTATTTTCATTATTTTATCCATTCTAGTATTCATTGGCAAACATCTTAAGTGCAGTGTGGCTTGTATCCAGGAAGGTTAGGTAAAGAAGTTGGCGTTGCTCCACAGGCATGTCCCACAAATTATCTGCACTGTCCATAATCTACATACTATTCATAAGGTTCATAGACTGCCATTAGGCCCAGGGCAGCCATAGACTTCAAATCATTCTGGTTTTTCATTCCAGTATAGGATCAATAACTTGTCTTATGAAACATAAAAAGTTACAGTATTAGCATCACAGTAAACCTATTTCCACTGTTTTCAGGTCAAGTATGTGACGCTGCATTTCCTTTTTGTTTATTGTATCCAAATACAGTAGTGCAATACACCGTGGGCTTGTATCAGTAGCACATCATTGTATATATAGTACAGTACTGTACCTGTATCCAAATAGCACATCATCCTATGGATCTGTATCTAAATGTGCATTATAACATCGACTTTAATCCAAATAGCATGGTACCCCCCATCAGCCTGTACAGTATATATCAATTGGACCCTTAATAGATGAGACTAACCAAGCTGTAATGGATGATAAAAGGGCAGCAAACACTCTAAATTATTATTTTACAACAGGATTCATAGTCGAAAGGTTGGATGACATCCCATCACCCCACACAAATATTTGAAGGAGAGGGAGAATGAATTAAGGGATAATCCCATAACATGGGGAAATAATTTGAAAGAACATTGACAAACTAAAAGACTCAAATGCGCCAGGTGTGGATGGAATCTAATCCAAAGTTTTTAAAGGAACTGACAAAAGAACTATGCCTCCTGCTGAAACTACTTTTCACAAAATCTCTGGACCAAGAGGTAGTCCTTCCTAGATTGGAAATATGCAAATTTTTCTCTATTTAAAAAAAAAAAAAGCAGAATGAGCTCAGCAGAAAACTAATGGTCAGTCAGCTTGACCTCACACATCTACATGCTCATGGAGAAAATCCTCAGGGAGGGAATCATTCACCATCTTTTAGTGAAAAATCTTGTAAAATCAACACACCATGGGTTTGTTAAAAACAGATCCTGCCTGACAAACTTGCTCACATTTTGGAAATGGTAACCAGCTACTCGTACAAAGGCCTTCCGGTGGATGTAGTATACAGTACTGTACATAGATTTTGCTAATGCTTTTGATAAGGTACCACATGGAAGACTGGCAAGGAAATTACAGGTCCATGGAATAAATGGTAAAATATTAGAATGGATAAAACAGTGGTTGAAGGAAAGAAAACAAAATGGTCATGCTAAATATAAACGAATCTGAATGGAGAAATGTGATAAGTATTCAAAATGGACCTGCCACAAGGGTCTATTTTGGGACCTACCCTTTTTGTTATATACATCAATGACGTAGATGAGAATATTACAATCCAATCATCAAATTTTCAGATGCCACAAAGATTTATGGTAAAGTGGGAAATTATAATGATATTGAAGCCTTACAAAGAGATCTATATAATTCATTGTGTCGGGGACAGGAAGTCAGAGTGTATTCATACACGTTTTGGCTTTTATCGAGAACCCCCCCCCCCGCCAAGGCAGAATTGTTGACCCCGCCCAGGATGCAACCCCACAACAAGCTGACTAACTCCTGAGTACCGGCTCACTGCTAGGTGAACAGAGGCATTAGGTGAAAGGAAATGTGCCCAACCATTTCTGTCCTGCCCAGGATTCGAACCCGGAATTCTCAGTTGTGCATCAAGAACGAACCTGACTGTACTACAGGGACCCATGAACTTCTCAAATGGTCAGAAGCAAATGCTTTTTAATATCGACAAATGCAAGACCATAAATTTGGGACATAACAACCCATGCCATGACTTCCAAATTAATAGCATTACATTACAGCAGATTGATGAAGAAAAGGACCTTGGAGTCAAAATCCACCACTCATGTTGCACAACAGATAGGTGCAGCAGTCAGAAAAGCCAATGAAACTCTTGGGATAATCAAGCATACTTTTGATTATAAGGAAAAGAAGCTAATGGTTCAGCTGCATAAATCTCTGGTGCACCCCTATTTGGATTACTGTATCCAAGCATGGAGATCACATCTTCAGAAGGACATAGTTGTTCTGGAGAAGATGCAACACTAGGCAACAAAAGTCATTCGAGAGCCAAGTTATCTCTTGTACCATGAACGCTTGAAGGCCACAGGGCTAACAACACTGTAAACCAGACATGACAGGGTGGATCTCAATGAAACTTTTAAAATACTGAACAAGTTAGAGAATGTTGATCTGGATATTTTCTTCAGAAGGTCAGATGTAACAAAAACAAGGAGCAGCGGTTTCAAGCTCAACAAGCCACAATGTACCTTGCCTTACCTTGAGGTTACCTTGAGGTGCTATCGGGGCTTAGTGTACCCGCGGCCCGGTCGTCAACCAGGCCTCCTGGTTGCTGGACTGGTCAACCAGGCTGTTGGATGCACGTTGTCTATGGTCAGGACTAGAATAGGAGGACTAAGGATAGGGGTATTAGGATAGGACTAAGAATAGGAGATGCTGTTTCACCCACAGGGTTATTAACCCATGGAACAGCTTATGCACTAAAACCGTAACTGCCAAAACTGTGTTGAGTTTTAAAATATACCTAGAAAAGATCATCATATCAAATGGGTGTGGGGGGGACCTTCGACAAGCCGCCATCTTCCTGTCCTCGTCGAGGCCACTAGGGTTAGTGGCCCTCAGGTAAATCAGGTAAATTGGGTAAATAAGTCACATAAGCCATTAGCCTATACTGTATATAATATATCTACAAAATAGGTTAGATAGTAGTTTTCTAGGTTTCCTTATATAGTATACCAGTACTGTAGTTTAAATGCAATGTTATCCATACAATAATAAAAATGCCCAACAGAATTACTCAGCCATCTGCCTCACTCTCCCGTCTACCACATATTGACAAACAATACAATACAATTTTATTCAAAAGATGTTACTACAAAGAACAAAGTAGTAATGTACAAATTGAATGGAAAGGAAAGAGTTACACAAACTATGAAGCCTCTATTATGCACATTGTTTCGGGCAAAAAAATAAAATAAATAGACAACAAAATTTTACAAAGGTATGAGGGGATAAAACACTTAATACTAAAGAAGAAAAGCTAACAAAGTGAGAACGTTCGTGGAAAATAACAAAAGAATGCAAAAATGGTGACACTTAAGGATAACATGCATAGACTTTTACATTATGGAGTCAGTAGTTGTAGCAATAGTACAGTAGTTTAATTACATTAATAACAGAACTGAAATACAGGGTGTAGTTTAGAAGAGCAACTGGACTCTTTCTCATAACATTCTCAATGATGTTGTTAAACATAACAACTTCACTGACTTGGGGCAGAATCACTGATAAGAGAGTTGACTACTACAGTACCTTAAATTTCTTAAAACTAACATTATTAAACCTCCACTATGTGCAAACCACTACTTGTTGAAAGGTGGGACCAAAGAGCCGCAGCTCAACCCTCGCAAGCACAACTAGGTGAGTACTATAGAAACCATGAAAGTTAACTTCAGGCTACACAGGGAAATTGCAACAAAAATCTTGATTGAAGTCGTAAGAAACATAGGAGAATAAACTCTTAACCATTCAGGTTATCAAAGTAGATGTACAAGACACACATTTCTAAATAAAACACAGAGCTTCTATAACAAATTTACCTGATTTACCAGGTAAATCAGACCCTTAAAACATACTCTCCCATGCTAAATGGAAATCTTACAAATCATGGCTTACAAAAGGCATATATCAATCAAACAATAGAATGTTCAAGTACTGTACAAGAATAAATATAGATCATAAAGTTAACACTCCCTTGTAATAATTGCACCATCATATAATCATTAGCTCCCCTTTAGTCATCATACTCAGCACATATTACATGCTCTGTACAGTAGTTATTGCCACCCTATACTCTTTTTATGCTCCCTGTTGTCATTATACTCTGTACCTAATACATATCTTGTAATTATTACCACCCTGTGCTCTTTATGCTCCTTGTAGTAATTATGCTCTGCACTCAATACATGCCCTGTAGTCATTACCACCCAGTACTCTTTATATTTCCTGTAGTCATTATACTCTGCACTCATTACTTGCTGTGTAGTCATTACCACCCTGTTCCCTTTATGTTCCCTCTAGTCCTTACAACCTCTGTACTCATACTACCACCTGTTTATATTGTGACCTATTTGTTGTGGTGTGACATCTGCCTTTTATCAGAAGATATACTGCACCTATATATTACTGTTTTGCATAAAGAGTATTGAACAATGTAAAACTGTTTCAATAAGAATGTACCCTCATTTTTTTGTCCAGAAACCTGTGTTATAATGGGAGAAGAAAATGAGATTCCGATGTTAATTGGAGACGAGGGTGAGGGTGAGGAAGCCCCAGACCTAGTGGAGGCGGAGGACATTCCCCGCGTTCCAGTGACCATCCTCACTGGTTACCTTGGTGCAGGCAAGACTACACTGCTCAACTATATACTTACACAGCAACACAATAAGAAAATTGCTGTTATACTTAATGAATTTGGTGAAGGTGAGTTTATTTGAGGTTAAGTTGCTGGGTGGTGATTGGCTTTGATTGCTACATGGACTTCATGTAAATTTCTATTACGTATACAGAATTTTATTATTATTTAGTAAATTTCAACATAAATTTTCAGTACAACTTGTAAAAAAAATACCATTTTATGCTCAGTATTGATGTCCTAGGCTATTTACTTATTACAAACAGCAGTGCTCAATAAGCCAATGTATATACACGTTTTAAAATACTGTATCTTTTCTGCTATTGTTGTTATTTTCTCTTGCATGCTTTTATCTACTTCACTATATTGTGTTCTTAAAAAGTCTCCCAAAATTTCTTAGTTTTATTTCTTTTGTCTGTTGTTGTAAAACATATAACATGAATGTAAAACACAACATTTTGTAAAACATTTATGAATTATATGCAATCCCAATTACAGCTACCTTCACCGTGAGTGCTCTTTTTGTGACTTCGTACTGCTCCTCCCTGTCTGCTTCTTTCTGTCTACTCTTCCCTGTCTGTTCCTCCCTGTCTGCTTCTGTCTGTCTACTCCTCCCTGTCTGCTTCTTTCTGTCTACTCCTCCCTGTCTGCTTCTTTCTGTCTACTCCTCCCTGTCTGCTTCTTTCTGTCAACTCCTCCCTGTCTGCTTCTTTCTGTCTACTCCTCCCTGTCTGCTCCTCTCTGTCATGCTCACTTTGGATATGTCTCCTTGCTGTTCTGTACTTTTATTTATTTTTTCTTATTGCCATACACAGACATGATTCATGCCTTGCTCCACTGCTGTTTTCTCCCACAACCATTGATGTCTTTACTAAGTGCTTGTGGGAATGTAACTTTAACTTTATAGCGTCAACATTCTCACATCCACCACTCTCATCTGATATTGTTTTAATAACTTATTTACGTAGTGATAATAAATTTTCATACTGATAATGTTTCGTATGGACTTCGTGCTTAAAATCTCTCTTCCTGATAGCTTTTCCCACTAATAAATATTAATTAATACTGATAATTTTATTCTGATATATCATAATGATATCTTTTGTGATAGTTCATACTGATAAATTTACAAACTGATAATGTTACATACTGATAGTTACACATACTGATAGCTTTATATACTGATAGCTTCATATAATGATAGCTTTACATAATGATAGTTTACATAATGATAGCTTTTCATAATGACTTATCCAGAAAATTCAAATCTCTAGACATTTAAAAAATGGAACAGGTACAAAATATGAGTTGGAGAATTAAGAGGTAGACCTCTCTGTCTTGAGGTAAATGTATGGAATGAGAGAACACTATGGCAGTGGGTTAGATTGGACTCGCAGTAAACATAATATTTTATAGATACAACATGTTATGGTGATCTCATTTTTGTATATAGAATGAGTATGGAGCAGAAGTGGTGGAAGTAACCACTATATACTGTACAGGTTTAAGAGGGAATAAGAGAGAGTACTGGAGAGACGGGAGGTATAATATAAGTGCACCTGGGTAAACTAGGTGACACATGATCCTCACAACATATGATCCTCACTGTTAAACAAATTTTGATTTGCAATTATTCTATACAGTTCATACAATCTTTACTAAACATGGCTAGGTTAAGATCTTCACATTACTGTATGCATTCTTCATTTGGGTTTTTTCCAAATGACTAGCCACTCCTGTTGAAGACTACAGTACATGCAGTGAATATCCTCACTATCTTCACTATATTTACAAAACACATCTGCAGGAAGTATCTGTACTATACACACAATCTTCAGTACTGTTGCTGACTTCTTCAGTCCCCCCAGATTTTGTATTCTTCTGATTTTGAAGGCCTTTTGCAGCCTATGGCCAGATGTGTAGCTGCTTATGGCCAACACTCTTCAGTTGGTGGACCTTAACTATCATACTATATTTGATTGATTTCTATTCATCTGTGTCTGCATGAATATTGGACATGTGCTCATACACTTATTTATATGCAAGAGGATTCTTTACCTTTAAGGTCTTCATTAGAACTTAAGTGAATACACTGGTATTCACTTAAGTTCTAATAAAGGGAGAGAAGTGAGGTTATGAGGGGAATGAGGAGGTTAAGCTAGGCAGATTATGCTAAAGCTTTGATCCACTGAAGTAATGCAGTTTACTTCCAAGCTGGTGTTTACATTTCTACGTGATTGTCAGCACTTTGTGCTTTGTTCAGCTTTCAATTAAATAAACTCTGATGTTGCTTTCAGGAAGTTCAATGGAAAAGAGCTTGAACATTGGACATGGAGGTGACCTTTTTGAAGAATGGCTTGAGCTACGTAATGGTTGTCTCTGCTGCTCAGTCAAGTAAGTGTGTGTCTTGCACATCATCTCTAATCATCATCCTGAAGTGCGATGTCAAACATAAAATACAGTCCAGGTGGTCCAGTATAGTACTTGAGTTATTCTTTCTGGACCTTTTACTGTGGGTATGACTCAAAAATAGCTGAGTAGTGTTTGATGGCCCGCTGTAGGAAGTGCCACAACAACCAGGTTGCAATGGATATATGAGCCTGGAAGCCACTCCAAGCAACAGCCTTTCAGATCAGTTTATCACAAGACAAGCCAGTCCCCAAGCTGGACTTAGGGATAGAAAAACTCAGAACCCACTCCAGATATACTTCAGTGTTGCACATTCCTCCTGATTGCCACACTCAGGCAACAGAAACCCTAGCAATTTCCTGGAGGAACTGCCTGACAGCGGCCCTCAGTAGTGGTGCTGGAGCTCATAGGCAGACCTCTGTTGACTAGCTGATCTACACACAGATGTCTCGTACCCAAACAGGGTGCCTTCTTTTCAGCAGGTTGCCTACAACTCTAGCTTGGGATAATTGGACTTCTCACACCCAGTGCTCACTGCATGCTTAGCTAAACTCACTTGTTTGCACCTTATGCAACCACTCATATATGAATGGGAGGCTTGGTTACCCATAAAATCAAGCCTTACTCATGCTTTCAGGTTTGGCATAATGCTGGCAGTGGATACTGTAGGTTTTGTAATTTGCTCTGGAACAAATGGCATCCTGTCAAGTGAGACTAAAACACTTAACCCCCCAAAACTGCCTCACAGCATTTGCAACTTATGCTCAGGCCTACCCTCTCCACAAGTATGTTCCACAGTGTATAATAGTAAATGTAACTCAACTCAGCACGTCTTATAAGTATAAAATACTGAGGAAGAACACAGAAACACAGTATTAATAAAAAATGTAATTTAACACTTTCGTGCTCTCGGCGCTCAAAAAAAAACAATACCCCAGATGCTTTCGGCACTTCGCGCGCCTACGCGGTAAGACCGAAAAAGTGTACACTCTTTTGACTGTCCTGACAATAATTGAAGGCGCACGTATTTAAATTTGGTATCACTGTGTTCGCAATGAAATTGTCTATAAGAGCATACCTATAAAATGCCGCCCAAGCATAAGGAGTATCAACACCAAATAAAAAACTATGCAGATCACTCGCCGAGAGCGCCAAACAGCAACAAAATGTTTCCACTCTCTTAATGGTTGCGAAGCCTACAGTTGTCCTACATCGCTAATTTTGGTATCATTGGAATCGCAATAAAATTCTCTACACGGACATATGCATATGAATGTTTAATATAGGTAATTGCCCACCCGCAAGAGTGTGTGAAGTGGAGAGTAGTTAGCCGCGAGCGCACTGGCGAAAACACGGGGGAAATCATGCTTGGAAAGTTTATACATTTATACGTTTCCTGACCCTACTTTTCTATGTACGTATTTCTTTTTTATACCAATGTGTTCGCAATAAAATTTTCTATAAGATGAAATGTATAACAATTGTACAAAGCATGTGTAAGAGAAGCGCCAAATATAGAACCACGTCGCTCAGTATGCGTTCGCGGCAGAAACGAACGCATTGTTTTCGTTCGTTTGATGTTTGTCATGTTTATACTTGTTGAAACATTTTATAATTTGTATGACAGTGATTGCAGTAAAATTCCCTACACAGACATACTGTATACATAACACATACAAATATTTCCCACGTGTTGGATATATCAACGGCTAAAGGGAACCCACTGCCACACGCCCGCCACACCCAGAGCCACACCCGCCACACCCCCAAACATACTTTGTTTTTTGTTTTTTACTCATAGAAGTTTATGTGATATAATATTCATTCTGGTACCAAAAAAATTGCAAATAAATTCTCTACAAAACATATATAATATAACTTCTTATAGATGATAAAGAATTCCAAATAGGTGTACTTACCCTGTCTATGTTGATTGAAGATCAACAGTTGAGCATTTTTTCTTCACTCCACCATCTTCAGGCTTCTGATCCTGAAGTTGCTCATCTGATGTTTCTTAGGTGGAGTGAAGCTGTTGCCAGTGGTTATTTTTTCTCCACCCAAAATATCTTTCTTCGGTGGTACCTTGTGTAGCAAGGCGCAGCGCACAGTGCCACATCACAAGTTTTACATCCATATATCACGTCCCTCCTTTTGCCAGACTTGAAACAAACACGGCATCTTCTTTTTTTAGCCAAGTGCACGAGTTCATGCGTCAACTTGTAGTTGTGACGTTGTTCTGAATCTATAATTCTTCTATTTCTTGGATGCACTGGAGGAATATTGTCTTCTACAGGAACCACCAAACTTGTAGTAGAATCTTCTATGAAATCAGAAACATCAAGTGGTTCTATGTCCTCAATGTCCATTTCAGAATTTGTGGTTGATGAGTGGGCTTGAGGTGTTGAGGTGAACAGAGGACGCCTCACACCAGATGGGCCGGGTGTTGAAACTGCCGCGTCAGCAGGAGGAGCTGCGCTGGCATCTATGTCGGGAACATGTGGTATGCTTGTTGTTGTTGGCCATTCCTCGCTGTTCCATGCCAATAAGGCTGAGTCATAAGGCTAAGGCCAATCTAAGAGTATCCCCATCCATTTCGGTTAGAAAATGGAATTTATAGAAATATTTTTTCGATGGACTACAAAAGTAGTCTGTTATGCGGAATTGTAAGAAAAAACGGTGACGAGCTATCTCTAATCTAAAGCGCGAAAGTGTTAATGAGAAGACAAGCAGTACAAATTACATTAATAGCCTCTGCTAAAAATTTGAAATTAACTAACTAGGTATTTTAAACTTATCGAGCTTTCTTGGAATGTCATAGAAACAACAAATGAGCCTGTACTTAAATTCTAATACAGTACTACTTAAAAGGCTGACTTTTCAATTGGTATGAACTTTAAATTGAACTGGCAATTCACTATACATGAACAATAATCTACCATCTAACTTATATACACAAATAATTATTACGACATCAGTATTCAAATTCTAGATTGTTACTTGGAACAATACTACTTCAAAGTGGAATGCTAAGGGAACTGGTGCCGATCAGCTGTCAGCTATGCCCCCTTGCTCTAACGTGTCATTGTGGGCACGTGGGATATTGTAGTTCCTCCACACTCATCACTTGTTGCTTGATTCACAATGCACTCAACTTTGCACCTTTCTTGTGAGATCAGTGAGTAACACCTCACTGAAGTTAGTTTAGGTTGCTCCTTATGCATACCATAATCTGCAGGGCTCTTCAAAGCCTCTATTAGACATACAACTGACGAATTCTGCAAAATTCATGAGTATCGGCCAAGTGTGCTCATTCACCACCAGATCCTGGGACTCTGTGAGGCTCCTCTGTCAATGAGAGGCTACAAAGCTCGAAGTCATTGATGATGTCACCTTGGGTTACTCATGAATTTAAGAAGTCACAAATAGGTTACTTCAAGCAACTATCACCAGTCAATTTTCCTCTTCTCATTCGGGTCTCTGTGTCCTTGCCTCTGCTCCTCTACGCGCCAAAAATCCTCTCCAGCAGCGGTTCCTGTAACTGCTGTCTTGAAAAATGTAACTACTGTAGGTCCACCCCCTCCCCCTTTGAAAACCAAAAAATTTAATTTCTTAGAAGTGCTGCAACTCACAACCTTCCTGTAACAAATAAAATATTATCTGGGCCATCTAATATATATAATGAGGGGGGATGACTCTTGAAGCCAGTAAAGGTACTAAATGAGACGGCAATCGTAACACCAGGAATCGTAATGGGGAGCCACTAGGTTTATGTTCTGTCCAGGTTTTCTCTGAGGTGGTTGTATAATCTTATCATTCATCTTTTCCTATTGCTATAAAACTGTTTGGTCAGTATGGTTATGTTCATATTGACTGTTACGATCATATGGGTTTAATTGCTTCGTTTATTTGATACGGACTGCTCGGCAGTCTATCATAGCAATGACTTTCATTTGATGACCTATTACACAGCTTTGCATGGGAAATTTTTAAAGTTTGGACCAGAGTGTACTGGATCATGCATATATGTATTTGGCAAGGATTTTATTTACTTTTGTATTATTTTTAGTAAGGTTATAGGTATCTCGATATGAGTCGGCTACCGATCATCAAAATTGAAATGTTTTGGCAAGACAAGTACCGTATTGTTATTGATTATAAATTTTAAGCTATAATATTTTTCAAGTACAGTACTGGTACTTTAATTTTAGGACACTGCATGAAACCCGTAATGTAATGTACACAGTAATGTAATGTAACTAATGCTGAATACTGTACATGGTGCAGGCGGGACAACTTGGGGAGCATTAAAGTTATTCTTGAACAAACTTTTGCAGTGGTATTCTAGGATAGGAGACCACAAATACCTTCTTTGAGAACTTTTATGTGATCAGACAATACATTATTATTAATGCTAATGTTGTTAATGATTCAACAAAACTAAATTCATAATTTGGATAAACAAATCAATAGTTATAGCATATTACATCCATTTGGTATAGCTTGATGGTTCTTGCAAAGCTGTTAAAAATTGCGGCAGTTTCCAAGAGAATCTTTGTATGTGCCATAGATGCAGACGCATTGTTCTTGATTTTCATCCCAGTTGGAGAGGTAGGGACACACACACACCCCTCTTATCCGTATTTTACCATTTGGACACCTCTGTTGTATCCTATTACTCGGTCCTGAATAAAAAAAAAATCAAGGAAAATATAAATGGTTCAGAGTAAGATATTATTATTTGTAACCATGTCCATGTTCAGGCAGACATATTGTCAGCCCTTAATCTTAAAAGTATATGAGAGAAATAGAGTTACATTCTAAAGTTACTCTCTTTATGACCCAAAATATTGCTAAACAGTATTTTGACAATGACTTACCAGCCTAAAATGTTATATAATGAGCACATAAAAATATTACATGACTGAAGAGCATGTGTATTTAACACTTGTGGCTTTTGTAGATAATAATGCTTTTTGTAACTTGAAAAAATTGGTTACTGGCACAGCCATGAAAAAAATTACTGTGTATGAATACAGTCATATGTTGTTCAAGACAAATAATCCTATAGTTAATACTACTACAGTATAGTATTTTTCAAGACATACTGTAATTCATTCCAAAATATTAATAACTGCTAATATTTTCTGGGGGAGTCCCTTTGGCTCCCTGGAGATATCCGGGCTGATATGAATGTATTAGACCCTGGCATCAGTCAGTGGAGTTCTAGGCTTACCAGTGACCGCTGTTTTTTGCTTCCCATCTCGTGTGTCTTGTGTGTCCGCTTGGGCTCTGGCTCATAGGATTTCTTCACCATTTTGCTCGTTGCTGTTTGCAGAGTTTGTGGTTGTGCAGTATCTGCAGGCAGCTGCTTCTAGTTGCCATCTCATGTTGGACATGTTGGTTCTCCGGGGTAGCTGGTCAGCCGAGCGGACAGTACGCTGGACTTGTGATCCTGTGGTCCTGGGTTCGATCCCAGGCGCTGGCAAGAAACAATGGGCAGAGTTTCTTTCACCTTATGCCCCTGTTACCTAGCAGTAAAATAGGTACCTGGGTGTTAGTCAGCTGTCACGGGCTGCTTCCTGGGGGTGGAGGCCTGGTCGAGGACCGGGCTGCGGGGACACTAAAAAGCCCCGAAATCATCTCAAGATAACCTCAAGATCTCTCAAGATAGCCCGTGGAGGGGGGATGATCTTCCCGGAAGGGTCGTGCCTGGGCTTGGGGTTCCTCCTGTCATGGTAGGCCAGTGGTGCCAGCTTTGGAGCCGGTGCAGCCTTCAGAACCATCTTCGTCTGGTTGGCGCGGTGATTGCTCTGTTCGGAGACTAGGTTCATGTAAGTGGCATCGTCCCTTTCGCTGTTCGTCCCATTGATGTGGCCATGGAGGGAGGGGAGGCTTGCTCTGTTTTATGCCTAGTCCTACGATTTGTGGGGTTTTCGGGTCGTTTTGTGAGGCCTGCTGTGGCATTTGGTGGCCCCTCCTCCTTTGGGAGCTTCAGGGTTAGCGGGGCAGGCCTCTTCTCCTGTGCTCTGTTGGGTCATCTTAGAGTGAGTTCGCCTGGGCGTGGTCGAAACGACCACATCCCTCAGGTGGGGTTCCAGCCTGTTTCTGGTCTTGGCGCAGGGGGTTTGGTTGGTTAGGCTGGGGTGCATCATGTGTTGTGTCCAGCCTCCCGGGTAAGTCCCTCTTGTTTTTGTCTTTGGGGAAGTAGCTCCGGGGAGCCGACGGGGCTCTTCCCAGAAAACCAGTTGAATGTAATGATACGCCATTTTCTGGGTGTGACCCCGGAGGCTCCCCGGCAACTCTCCCTCCCTCCGGTCTGCAGTTTTTTCGTGTGTTTTGACATCCAGCATGAGAACTGGGGTGTGGGTAGCCAGTGCGAGGGTCTGGGGTCCCCCCATCCCCCTTCCAGGGAGGGGGGGCTTGCGTATACAGCAGCTTGGCGACGTGGTGACGTCATGCTCGTTTGGTAGTTTTCCTTTGGGCCTTCTGACTCGAGTCTATCATCACTTGAATGGGGCTCAGGTGGCTTTGTTGATGGTGTCCCACCTGCGTGCTTCGTCTCAGCAGTGGTATGAAGTTTCCTGGTGGTCCTTCCGTTCTTTATTATCCTTTCGTAGGTTTACTTCTGTCTCTATTTGGGTTGTCTTGTCCTTTCTTTTATGGTTGTTCCAGATGAGTCATCTTCTGCCGAATGCTGTCGCCTCGTATCGTATAGTGCTGGCAGAGCTGCTACAGCTTGCGTTCAGCATTGATGTTACTTCTACGCAGTTTCACAAGCTGTTTCACCTCCAGCCTGCTCATGCACCGCCTGAGCCGTCCTGGTCATTGGACCGAGTGCTCTCCTTTCTTTCTTCTCGGTTTGCAGTGGCCCCTTTGGTTCAGGATTGTTTTTCCAAAGCTCTTTTCCTGTTGGCATTGGGCTCTGGGGATTGGGTCGGAGAGCTTCATGCTCTCCTCCGGCGCAAGGGTTTCTGCTCTTTTGGTCCTGGTGGTAGGTTTGTTCGGTTGCAGCTGTTGCCTTCCTTTCTGGTGAAGAATGAGACTACTGCTTTCTGGAGGTGTCCTTGAGTTGGTGATATTTGGTTGGCTAGGCCGGGGGTGCATCATGTGTTGTGTTCGGTTGCGGCTCTCCACCGTTAACCCTCAAACCGCGCATATCATATATATATATGATATCAGTGACAAAACCGAAACCGCGCACATCATTTATATATGATTTCGTGTCTAGCGCTATAATTTAAACACCCCGCCTGGGATAGGGGTAGTCATCGGCGAGCCTCGACCGAACATAAACAAACCCCGCCTGGGAAAAAAATCCAGCGTGGGTCCCCTTTGTGTACAGAGCTCAGTTACCCGGCGGACACCATGGCGAGCGCATCACATTCCGACGACCGACCCCGCTCAGCGAGACGTTCCTCGCAACCTCTGACCGAGGACAAAATTACTCGTAATTTGTTCCCGGATGGTGATGAGTCTGATATAGACGACTCCGACTTTGATCATGACTATACACAGCCTCAGAGGTGGATACGACCGACGACAAGTGTGAACATGCTGGCTCCACCAGGGCTAGGCCTAGCATCTCGCCCATGCCTCCTCGCCCTCACTCCACCCCAATTTCAGCAAGACCACACAGTTCATGTGCTCCCTTGCAAGATATTGATGTTTTGCTCGACGATTCTGAAGAAGGTGAATCATTTTCTGGTTTTAGTGACTTAGAATCGGAAAATAGTTTTGCTAGTGCCAGTGGAGAAGTGTGTGGTGTTGCCAAGCGACAATTTGTCGCGTCAGCAGCATCTGGCCAAGCCATGTGGCACCGCATGGCACCACATAAACAAAGACCCTCAACATCGAGGAATTTTCCATCACCATTCCTGCCCGCCCCTACTGTTCCTAGACCTGCTTCAGCTCCTGGTACACGTTTCCTCGCCGTGGTGCCGCTATTGGCTCTAGAAAGACACCCGGTGTTTTTGTGTGGAGTGATGGGACAGATTTTGTTCCACAAATTCCTGTTTTTGATAATTCGGATGTTGGAATTACAGACATTTTCCCTGATAAAGGTGCAGATATGTGTGAAATGGACTATTTTAGTGCATATTTTGATGAGCCGCTAATGGAACATCTTGTTCATGAGACGAACAAATATGCGAGTGATCTCATTGATGAGGAGGAGTTATCCGATTTTTCACGTTTGCAGCGATGGAAAGATACGACTGTAGGTGAAATGTATGTGTTTTTGGCACTGTGTATGTTGATGAAACATTGTGTCAAACACGTAATCGATCATTATTGGAGCAAAGACCATACTGTTCCAACACCAATGTTTGGCAAATATATGTCTCGAGACCGATTTGCGATAATCCTCAGGTGTCTTCACTTTGCAAATGATGAAGACAGGAATGATGAAGATAGGCTTTGGAAGGTAAGGCACGTACTGAATGAACTTATCGGAAAGTACAGGGATTTCTACGTACCAGCTCAGAAGCTTGTGATTGACGAATCCCTTGTGCTTTTCAAAGGACGTCTTGCCTTCAAGCAGTATATTCCCTCCAAACGCCACCGATTTGGATTGAAATTCTTTGTACTCTGTGACTGTGAAACAGGAATTGTGTTACATATGATAATGTATACGGGTACAAATGTAGATATTCCTGCTAATGACCAACATGGCTTCTCAGGTAGTGTTGTGAAGTCACTGCTTGCACCATATCTGAACAAAGGCCACATTTTATACACAGATAACTATTATACCAGTCCCTTGCTAACTAGGTTCTTGCTTGATAATAGAACTGGTGTGTGTGGCACAGTGAAGGCAAAACGAAGGGAAATGCCAGTGTTTCCAGGTGCTATGCAGGTTGGTGATTGCGAGCTCAGAAAAACAGGTGGAATACTTTCAGTGCGGTGGAAAGACAGGCGTGAAGTGAACATGTTGACCACCATTCATGCTGGAACAATGCTGGACAGTGGCAAGGTGAACAGAACCACCAGAGAAATAATCTATAAGCCAGATTGTGTCTTGGACTATAACATCAACATGCGTTTGGTGGATAAATGTGATATGATGGTGGGAGCAGTGGAGTGTGTACGGAAAACAGTGAAGTGGACCAAGAAAATGTTTTTCCACCTTGTTGATGTAACAATGCTGAACAGTTACAATATGTATCTTGTCAAAACAGGTGGTAAACGTAATTTCCGTGCATTCAATTTTACTGTAGTAACACAATTACTACAGAAGTTTGGCAAAGTAATTCCTGGTGTACAGAGGCCCATTCTGAACCCGGTATTGCACCATGCTCCAACACCCAGGCTCGCTTTCAGGGATGCCTTTTTGACACACAATCTCAGGTTTTTACCACCAACTGGAAAGCGTGCAGTAGGCCAGCGTGCGTGTGTAGTATGCTGGTCAACAACCAAGAGGGAACAGAAAAGAAAAATGGTGATGACTTGGTGCACAGCGTGTCAGGTCCCTCTGTGCCATGTCCGATGTTTCAACGAGTATCACAGTCTTGATGACTTCTAAATGTCCAAGACTGGTGCCAAAACATGTAAATACAGAATAAGTGAGTGTATATAATGGAAATAAATCATAAGAAATAGTATATTTTTTTTTTATTGTGAAATAAGACATTTTTGGGATTTTTCTGGGGGGAGCCCCGTCGGCTCCCCGGAGCTTTACCGGCTG